GTATATAGGAATAAGGAACCTTTTTCTGAGTCTTCAAATGTTTTTAGAGCAAAACTTCCCAGCAAATTTTCCCAGAGAAAGTATCCCAATTGCACCTACAGGAAATGAATAACAAAAATTGAGAAGATCATGTGAGGTGTGAGCAAGGCTTTTCAACTGTTTTCCTGCGTCGTGCAATTTTTTTTAGACATATCTGGAAGTGTTTTCCCGTGAAACCTTATTGATGTAACTCAAAGTCATAATAAAGTGGAATCAGATCTTGCTGTGGGGTCTTACAAATGCCCTTCCCTAACTTATCTTCCAGCTAAAAAAAAAACCTGACGTTTGTAAGAATTCTTGACTGGGTTAATAATAAGAATACTTTTTTTAAGCTTGCAAACGTTTCTAGGACATACCACTTTAAATTGTTTGTAAGCGATCTTATAATCATTCTTAATGCTTAATATGCATTCCAGTTGATAAACATTGAACTGAAAAACATATATGGAATATTTCCTGATGCTTGTAGATTAATGAATTATTCTCTGACATAATTTAAAGTTAATCATTCTTACATCCGTCCTTCATGCAGGAAGTTATCAAATCCCTTTAAAAAAAGGAATGCGTTTGTTCTTGATGTCGGGGTCCGTAATTTAGTCCCGGTTGCACAATCCCCAAGTTTTTTTTTTCTTGAGTCCTTCACAAATTTGACTCGAAGAAATTCAACTCTAGTTATAGTTGGCCAATTTCTGATGCCTGATAAAGCAAGTGACAGTTCACACCTCAAATGATTGGCACCATGCAATAAAAAATTGCGTTCATTCTCCATACAAATTTCTACAATATAGCTCCGGATGTTTCCCCAAGTTGCTTTTTTAGTCGCCTAAGCATTTGACTTGAAGAAATTTAATCAAGTTATAGTTGGCCACACCTCATATCCCTGATGAAGCAAGTGGCAGGTCACACCTCAAATGATGAACAGCATGCAATAAAGAATGCGTTTGTTCTCCATCAGGGGTTCTACAATTTACTTCCGGTTATCTCCCCAAGTTGCATTTTTTGAGTCCCTAACATATTTAACCCGGAGAAATTCAACTCTAGTCATTGTTGGCCTTTCCTGCTTATGCTTTATAAAGCAAGTGGCAGGTCATACCTTAAATAATTAGCACCATGCAATGAAAAAAAAAATGCGTTCCTTCTCAACCAGGAATTCTACAATTTAGTTCCGGTTGTTTCCGCAAGTTTCTTTTTGTTTAGTCCCTTCAAAAAAGTAGACTTTGAGAAATTCAACTCACTCTAGTCATAGTTAGCCAGTATATAGCCACTCCTGCTCATGCCTGATATAAAGCAAGTGACGTCTGTTGGGTCAAAACGACAAGGGTTTTGAAATTGAATAAAAGACAGATTCAGCCTTTACCGGCAGGATCCTCCAGAAGGGAGTCCCAAGAAGTTGCTTCTTTTAATCTAGATCTCAGACACACACACACACAACTTTCAGACTCAGAACTTTAGATATGAAATTTGCAAGACAAGCAATTCTCTCAGTAATTCAACACACAACAGAGTTCTGCTTTGAATCACAGCACACGTTGTTCTGTGGGCTTTGGAGCCCACGCCATGCTGTTTGAACCTTCCTCCTCCCTTTTCCTGATTGCATCTCCAACCTTTTCCGTATTACGACATACCGGGCGCGCAGCAGGAATGCTGCACCGCGTGCCATGCCATACCCATGTACGGTTCTTGCCAATGTGCCCGAGTATGCATGACATGCTTGGGTCACGTGATTTGAAATTCGCGGCGCCACACATACCTTAAATAATTAGCACCATGCAATGAAAAAAATGCGTTCCTTCTCGATCAGGAATTCTACAATTTAGTTCCGGTGGTTTCCTCAACTTGCTTGTTGTTCATAGTCCCTTCAAAAAAATTTGACTTGGAGAAATTCAACTCTAGGTGACAGCTGGGCCACACCTCGAATGACTGATAAAGCAAGTGGCAGGTCACGCTTCAAATGATAAGTACCATGCAATAAAGAATGCGTTTGTTCTCGATCAGGGGCTCTACAATTTAGTTCCGGTTACTTTCGCAAAATTTGAGTCCCTGACAAATTAGACTTTGAGAAATTCAACTCTAGTCATAGTTGGCCACTCCTGCTCATGCCTGATGAAGCAAGTGACAGTAGGTCATAGCAATAAAAAAATGTGCGTTCCTTCTTAAGCAGGGATTCTACAATTTAGTTCCGGGTGTTTCCTGAAGTTACTTTATGTTTAGTCCCTTCAAAAAAAATTTGATTTGGAGAAATTCAACTCCAGTGACAGCTGGGCCACACCTCAAATGACTGATAAAGCAAGTGGCAGGTCACACCTCGAATGATTAGCACCATCAGCACCCAGAATCTATATACTCTCACATCCCCCCTTTTATTTCCATTTCTTCCTCCATAAAAGCTCATCCCTGTGAAGTGAGAAAGATATCCGGGTGGTTGGTTGGCTGGTTGTCTTGGATACAGACGAATGGTTTTTTCTTTTTTTTCACCTCTCGTTTTCTGCTATTTTCATTTTTTGTTTTTTGAGGGGATGGAAGGTAGAATTTCCTAGGGCCTGGTTTCCTCCCCGCTGTATAAATTTAGACGCAGGTGACAAGTCTCACGCATGCTGAGCTCATCACTGCTTCCTGCTCTCGCGCACCATCCGTCTTCCGCGTACGTGGCCGTGGCACCCGAAATGAAGAAGCAGCAGGAAGAACAACAACAACAACAACAAAGACCGTCGACGACGATCCGGCCCGGAATGCGGATGACCAGGCCCTCGTTGACAAATGCGTCCCGCACGTGAGAGAGACACTCTGCAAGTACAGTACAGTACAGCACAACAGCAGCAACAAATCCCAACTGCTGAGACACATCAGAGCACCGACCGACCGAGAGGAGAGAAGAAGGAAGAAAAAAAAACAACAACATCACCCGAACCAAACCAACCCAACCATCATACGTACTATATACCCCCCTCAGGTCTGGATTTTTAAATAAATATAGAAAAGAGTCCCTCTGAGTGTCGAGGAAAAAAAAAAAATATATGGCGAAGAGGAGGAGGAGGAGGGAGAAAAAAGAAAGAAAGAATTGGGACTCATTTCTCACTGGCTAATGATGGTGCGTCGACGGGCAGTTTTTGAGTTGGTTTCCCGTCGAAGGACGACGCGAGAGTCATCCGTCACGCCCGTCGCGTGTTTCCGGCGACGGACATTCATCACGGCTGCCTCGACAGCCAACATATTGTTTATTGGCTCGTGTCACGCCTCGACACCAGCAGCAGCAGGCCCTGCAGCACCAGCAGGGGCAAGTCTCCTCCTCCTATTTCTCCTCCCTGTGTGTGTATCTCTCTCTGTCTTTCAAAACTTATTTTGTTTTCCCATGTCTGTTTTGATGCTGCTGCTGCATAGAACGTGATGAGCAACTCTCAAGTGTGACTGACCTTAGATTCTGTTGGCAGCCGTCGAGATTCATGACTCTGTGAAGATATGCTATAGGTGACGTGGAACACAAGTTTATTCATAATATTGAGAGTAAAATGGAAATTAACAATGTTGCTTTTTGCTCTCTGCATACAAATTTTTTCTTGTCCCATAGGCATTGTCTCCCCATGTTCTCTTGAATAAAATTCTTTCTACAATAGTTTTTGAGTCAGAGAAACTAGAATTTTTAGTGGAACATTGGAATAATTACAGTAAAACAATTATATATATTTTTGCTGGCCCTCAAACTGCCAGATAAAGGAGTTGCTGTTGGATAAATGTGGATGCTGACCTTCAAAACAATGGTAGATTTGCCCCAATTACACACAAAAAAAAATTTAGTCAAGTTTTATACTGGTGGTCCCTCACAATTCATACCTAATCCATTCCTGAACTAGGGGGAAAGTTGCAAATTGGTCAAATTGCAAGACACTCCATGAAATTTTAGAATATAACTTTTAAAAAACGCAAAAAGTGGCCAAAGCAGGTCAAATTGCAGTGCAAGGATCAAATTGCAAGTCAACCTCCCTGCAAAATTGAGTGTTGAATTGTGGTATGGTTGAACAGCAGGAGGTTGCATTGGAAGGTACCATTTGTATAATATTTGAAAATCATTTCTTAATTGCACTCATATTGTTTGTAAACTATCTTGGTACCCAATATACCTGTAACAGTTTCTGGAGGGACTCAAGAAGAGCATTGAAGCTTCAAGACATTTTCAAATGACATTAATCAAAACATTTACCATTGCTTGAAAAAGTGGAGCAAACTTCAAAAATCTCAGTACCTGTAATTGAGAATGAAAAATCAAAGAAAAAAAGTCCATTTGCTTCACTCAATTAAAAAAAAATGAGTAAACTGTTTGGAAACTTGGTTTTTAAATGCTGTTCTAAAGTTTTTTTTTTTCGTTCTGTTGAGACCATTGAAAACATCTGTGCAGTGCAAAATAACTTGGAAAGGAATTCCTTGTGATGCAGAATTTACTTGCAACAACCAGGTTCTTCAGGTCTGTCGCAACCTATGCCAGTGCACTATACTCTCCTTCTTCTTTTTTTTTTTTTCTCCCCAGCATCCAGACAGCCAGAAGGGAACTGAGCAACGCTTCTTCTGCCGCTTTTCCGAGTGGGGCATCTGGTCCAAAAGTCTCGTACAAGTTGTTGAAGTCTCAGGTTTCCGACTGAATCGAATCCCATAGATCCCGAGTGATGTTGCAAGACAGCCAGAGGATGATAGACTTTTCGGCGAGTATAAGCCTTATTCGGGAACGCGTGCCCGTGCTGGACAAACGTGACTTACCTTAGGGAGAAGGTAAGTCCTCCTCCTCCTCCTCCCCCATGCTGATGGACCCGTTCGTTATGCCGTGCATGCGGAGAGAGTGAGAGACAGGGGGCGGGGTCGAAACTGTGTACAAGTGGGAGGTGGGCAGGGCCTCTTTTATTTTCCTCGGACGAATCGGGGGGACGAAAGAGGATCCGCGGGCGTCGCTCGTCGACTCAGTTGTTGTCTGTCACACCCGATTCCGCGTCAGTGCGTGACGGGACCATCGACGGGCCCACACTCGCGATTTACAGAGTGAGTGGCTGTTTTTTTTTTTTTTGCGTGTCCCCCCCCCACCTTTTGTTTGGGGTTTTGTGAGTGGTACGTAATCGCTGCGGGATTTTGCTGTTGTTGTTTGTGGAGTCAATCATGCTGCAGCAACACCTCCCGGGCTTTTATTCGCCGGCGGATTGCCATTTCCATCATCAGCACCACAACCCGTATCATCACCATCATCATCAGCCGCCGATTGCCCGGTCACCGATGAAGGAGATGGAAGGTGGGTGCAGTATAGATAAACTTGTAGGGTACGTAGATGTAAGAGGGTTGTCCCAGTAGTTACGATAAAGAGGGATTAAATATTTCAAACCCTGAGAAAGATTTTATTATTTTTGTGTCCATGCGTTTGGTCATCTGGAATTCATGTTATATTTTCAATTCCCCTTTTTCAGCAGCACTGCACTGAATTAATATGCATGATGAGAATTGAAAGCTTTTCTGTTGCGGACAGAGTTCTTAAATCATTTCCATACGAAATTACTGAAACCAAGAACATTTTAAATCTGAAAAGTATTCCAGATGCTTAAAGCTTCATGGGAAAAAAGAAACAAGAAAAACTGATCAAGTTTTTACAAGTGCGAAAGATCCACAATTCCGCGCAGGACTAGGACAGCCCGTGGAAGAAGTTGTACCGATTTTTTTGTGATGGTTGATTATTGGTGCATGGAAACTGCAAATGTCAGAAGCCAGGGGGGGGGGGGGGGGTTGGGGATTTTTCTTTGTTCTCCCCGTGAATGAAAATATGATGTTGAAAAATTGTAATGATTTCAAGTATTTATGAAAAGCCAGCCCATTTAGAAGCATAGAGAAGACTTCTACGGGCTGATATAATTATTCGTCGCCGTTATCAGATTTTCATCCTCACTCGTTATATTTAAAAATTTAAATTTCTATCACGATAAAATTAGGGAAAAATTTTGGCTGCCGCACTTGGAGCACGGAAGCCGATTTTATTTATCATCATTATTTTTTGAGCAATACACTCGTGGTGACGAATTTTTTGAATACCTCATCACTACATTATTCAGGACAATTCTGAATTGGCCCAGATTTTTTCCTTAACCGACTCGAGGAGCAACCTATTCTTGCTTCGCAAAGAAGACCTTTTTTATTTAAATTTTACCGACAAATGATCACTTTTGAAAATTTAATGTTGAAATTGTGGTCCTCAGAAAATTTTTCTCATCTTGGGTTAAAACTTTTTTTGCGTTTTTGTGCATCGCATTGAAAATGTTCCCTTTTGGTTTATGCTCCGATAACGTTTGGTAATTTCCAAGGCCGTTTTACACTATTCCTTCGAAACCGATCTGGAAATTTCTTGAAAATATTTTACGCTTTCTTTGATGTCCTCGGGGAAAACTTAAATCATACCATCAAATATAAGTTCTGGCTGGCGAATATTGTAGCTTCCTTTTATAAATTTCAAGACTATAGGATTTTTTTGCAAATGCCGCGAGTAAATCCGACATTTTAATCTGTCGTTGATCTTCCGATTAAGGAAACACATAAGCGCCTAATTAATATGGTTAAATTTGAAATCATTTTTAATAGCACTTCCATGGCGGGGTTCAAGCTGAAGATTTGAAAACAACGTTCTTTTACAAGTTTCTGCGGTTGAATACCTTGATATACTGTAGTTGATAAGATTTATAATTTTCGATTTTGGACCATGCCTTTATGCTGAGTCATTCTAAATTTCACTGATTCAAGGGCAAACTTACAAAATGAATTAATAGACCAGTTCACGAACACAGATATCAACGAAAGGCTGCAAAAAACGTTTTTATTGCCAAGAAGCTTTAAAAAAATTGAAAACATCGAGAAATTCAGGGATTGGCTCGTATTTTCTGGTTCTTGAATCTTCTGGCCCTCCCCATTTGACATTCGGCGATTACCAAAGAATTTCACTGTCTCGAGGATATAAATTTGTGATGTTTACCTCTACCATCCTGACATTGCTTAGGCCAAGGAAGTGAAGGGGTAGGGGTAATAATTTACGCCATTTAAAACCAGTATGGACAAGTAATACTTGATTTCCTGAAGATGAAGTTCTAAAAATGATTCAGATTTTTCACTGTGACGAACTTGGAAATACGCAGTAGACAAATACGGTTCGCCCCTTCCACGTCATGAAAGTAATTTTTTATGGACGAATATTGTTATGTAACATTTTTATTGAGTGAAACTCAGTTTATCTTAAGATATGACTGAAAAAATGCTTGTTTTGGACGCTTCCCAAATAACCGTATTACACCTTGAAAAGCTGTATTTTAGCAAGTTGTTTGAATATGAGTTTGAAATTGATCCAGCTGAGGTAATTCTTGCAATCTTGAGCACTTAATTTTCTAGAATTCACAAAATTCCAGAACTAAATATGGCAAAACCTAGATGATATTCTTTGAGCCATCTACTGATATTATATATAAGAGCTTTCTTCTATCTTTTCTTTTTGATTGAAACAATATCCACAATTTCAAACCAAAACTTTCTGGGTTTACAGTGAGACCCCAAGATGCAGACATAATTGGTGCATCAAGAGCGACCCTAATTCAAAATGTCCCTAATTCAAGTCTCATTTTCCCTTTGACTTAAATTAAATAGTTTTTAATTAGTGTTTTATGGACAAAATACTCATCATAATCCCATGAAAAAATGTGTCTCCAAGTTAGAACTGATTCAATTAATATCTTTCAACACAATATGGAAATTTGAAGCATACCTCTGTACAGCTGATAGAAATGTTGGCATTCTCTGTAAAAATAACATTCAAGTGAAAAAGAGAGAAGGAAGTCCTTGTATGGTGGGGGTAATTTTTTTCAATTAGCTAAATAGATAGTAAATTGATGAGAGAAACACCAAAGAATTTTTCTTACACCAACTTTAGGGTTGGAAATATGTATCTGTTTCTTGCAATTTGGCCTGAAACTTATTTGCAATTTTATCACACGATGTCCATTATTTAAGTCAGTGTCTGCATTTTAGGCCTGTTTTATTAATTTTTATGGGAAAATAAATATCCCTTTGTCAAATTTTCTGCATGTCAAGGGGTCCACATGTGGGGGTCTCAGTGAATTTTTAATTTTCATGGTGGAAGAAATGTCCATAAAGTCATGCTATTGCGGTGGCAAAGGGGAATGGAATGGGTTCAAGTTAGATGGATTTTCAAGGTTGATGTTTAAGTTTTCGTAGGTTTATTAAATATTAAAATACAGCACTGTATTTTACAAATATTTACTTTCTCTTATGTAACCCTTTAAATTATCGAGCAGGGGCTTTATACCGATGCTGGCACATGTCCCATCAATGGAGCAGTAGTAACCTATAATCTTTTTTTAAACCAAAAGTTCTTCAACAAGGTGTTGATATAGAACATTTAATTCGAATTCGACGTAGTCTTCGGTATATTTTGAAAGTGTGAATCATATGAATGGTAATCAGAATTTTAATTAAAAACCCCAGGTATGATTTCTTGTTCAACACCATGAATGATATAGCTTTAAAAATTGAAGTTTTCTTTTCACTTCCTGTCATATACCATCAGATTACCAGACCTGATCTTCATTTATTTCGAGGTCAAATCTTCAATTCCATCCCTTTCATCTTGAGTAAAACCTGTTCCTTCTTCCTGCTTCCGAACAGTGTTTCCGGCGTCTAGTTCCTTGAACCTTTTGCCATTTACTGTAATGATTGTCCATCTGCTTCTCTCTTTTAAAAACCTGGGCTCAGGGGTACGTACAGTATAGAAAATATTATACTGTCTTCCAAAAAACATTCCCTCATGACCGTATGTGCTCAGATTTAAGACCTACTTTTTAGTAGGTCTAAAATCTTGCAAAAGATACTGGCAGAATTCAAATGTGTGAAAATGCTTTAGGACGTAGGAAAACATCTTCAACAATACGCACTGAAACTTTTTTTCTCGAAATTCTATGAAAATTTTTTTTACGGTGCAGGTCCCAAATTATCTTTCAAATTACAATATGGCATATTTTGAGAAAGAGAAATTTTCCCCTGGTGAAGGAGCAAAGTTGGTTCAGCAAAATAAATGCCAAATCTACCTGCGGGAGAGTTCTTGTCTCAAAATTGCATTCTTTGACACTGATGGGACATGAAAGGCTTTTTGTGAACATATTATATATACTGTAGCAAGATTGCGAGGAAAACATTTTGATCTCGGACCTTACATTCAAATATAATTTTAGATTTTAACAAGTCTGAATTTAAAGAATTTTTCTCAAATTTGGGGCGTTTGAAGGAAATGTTGTTGCTGAGGCTAAGGATATTTTTATTCATTGTATTCCTATTTATTGCTCTGTTATGCAGATATTTTTTTGAATATTGAATCTTTCCAATCCCTCGTTGGAGAAAAAAATGGTTGTCAGACTAAAAATTCTTTATCAATTTTTATGGTATGGGTTGTAACATAATTAAATCTTGAGATTTAAATTATTTGAAGGCGTCCTCTCGACTATACATTCGGCAGTGTTTACGGGAAAAAGTTACTGGAGCCAGGTCCAATTATAATTTTTAAAAATTTGATCAAAGTTGAAAGCTAAGAATAATTAACCCCCCCCCCCCCAGCAGTGAACACTAACAATAAATATGTGTCAATAACTAACTGCAAAACCTGTTGTCATGTTGGGACTGCAAAAATTACACCTAACAAACCGGATCTTGTCTGATTGATTTGTTTTCGGAAACTGTCTGACAAGAATCTGAACAAATGCTTGCTTTCATTCTCAGTCCAGGTCACAATAGTACGAATCAGTTTTTTTAATTGCCGCATATATTTCCTTTCCAAAAAGTTCAAGTTCAATACATAAATTCACTGCGTTCATTTGTTCGCTGAGGTTAGACAAATAATATAAAGTAAGCGGAACAAATGAGCTCTGAAGTAATGCGGCTTATTAATGAACAGACGTCTTCAACGAAAGCTTTTTTTTCATTTGAATGATGAAATCCAATATTCAATATTGTTGCTATGCTAAATGCAAACACACTTTTACATTTTCTGGAATTCTCAATTTTTACAAGTTATTCTTCCGTCACAATATTTCTGGCGGAAACGGATTTGGATACTGCAGGTTGAATTCCGTTATGCATTAATTAGGACTAATTCTTAAATCGGATATAATTTTTCAGTTTTGCGAATTTTTCTTTTGAAGTACTGCTTGGCAGTAACTGAATAGATTGAATGTTTATAAACCTTGATATACTAGTGATAATTCATTACGACTTACGAATATTTTGGTTATTTAAATCAAATTTTTTCTCCAGCTGGATTCTAAAATATTTGAGCACCGCCCTCCAATTTTTAATTCATAACTAAAACGGAACAATCATGAACCATATAGTTTAATATTGCCTAACTTGAAAAGTTGGAAAGATCAAGAGGTCAAATGTGAAACTTTTTTCGTCAGGAAACGCTGCTGAGAAGCAGAAAAAGGTTTACCTTTGCTGATCATGAAAGCTCAACGACATTATTTTTAAAAACTGCGATGAATAAATAGACCTTTCTGAGACCTTGTTAGGAAAACATTGCTGGTTTATCAAATGATTTTTTATGAAACCGTAAGATTATAGCAAGGAAAAATATTAATTATCCTATTTTAAGCAATTTTTAAACTTTCATTCCAGAATTAAGAACCTGGAATTCTTAAATGTAATTCATTATTTGTAGTTCCTCCAAGTTTCTGTGACTGAATTCCATCAGAATATTTTTCGAATTTTGACAAGTTGTACGTAGTTTGCCAAAACTTCAGAGTGTAAAAGGAATTGGACTAAAAATTTCTCTATTTGAAAGGAAAAGGACATTGGGTCAGACAAGCTCTACATAATCTCACAGCAATTGATATTCGAAGAGCGATTTAATCATCAAAACCAGAGTTCTCCAACTTTTGGCAATTAATTTTGGAAGTGCGATTTAATCGTCAAAAGCAGAGGTCTCCAACTTCCTTTTTTGAAACGGATTTTCTGCATTAGTCATATTTCATTTTCATGACACCAGCTCGGTTGATCCGAGCATTCAATAGGACCCATGACGGAATAAAAAAGAATGCGAACTGCCAGGAATTTTTCTGACAAACACAGATTGCGTTAAAGAAGTACTTGTCAAAAACTGTGCATTCATGCGAGCACACTTGATTTCGGGACTCCATGGCTAATTTTAAAATTGAAATGTTGAATGCAAATATCACAGAAAAAAACGAATCAAAAGTCTTGACAATTCTTTGTGCTATTTTTAGGTATAGCTATGCAGGGCAAAGGCAATATTCCAAAAAATCAGATTAATTATGTTTTCTTGCTCACATATTATTGTTTCTTCTTCATTTCGTATGCGTCAATAAACATAGTATTTTTTTGATGGTTTGCAAATGTGATTTGTCGTGACAACTGTCTGGCGGGTCTATTATTACGCGTGCAAATACTGCGGCGAATATTAAAAGTCGAAGTCAGGTGATGTGTTTTCACATAACATTTTTTTAAACGTTCGGGTTCAATGTCATTTTCAAAACATGTGGGTGATGATGACAAGAACATCAAAACTGCCCTGTTTGAGATATTTATTTAAAAAAAACAAATAGGTGATGTGTTTTCGCATGGCATCTTTTTAAACGTTCGGGTTCAATGTCATCTTCAAAACATGTGGGTGATGATGACAAGAACATCAAAACTGCCCTGTTTGAGATATTTATTTAAAAAAAACAAAGCCAATTATGCCAGAAGTAAAAAATAAATAAATCTATCAACATCCTATTCTTTCAGGAAATCATGAGCATATGTGATTGAACTCATTCATGTCTTTCAGGGATTCACATACTGTTCAACACTTTTCTAAACTCTTGAGAGTTTTTGCTATGCATACATGTTGTGTCCCATGAAAACTTGGATCCTTCACGTGTACAACTTTCACCACTTTTGAAAGCTTTGAAAGAAATCGTCTGGAGAATGAGAATAAGATGAATAACACAATCTGAAGGTTGCATCAATTTAGGGAAAATGAAGTACACCGATTGCCAAGGATTGATTTTTCCGAAGTTTAAACGTGCATATTATTTGGATACCATTTAATCATTTTTATGTGGCATTTTAGATCATCAATCAGTGATTACCGTATTTACTTGAGTACCATGTGCACCTTTTTTCTCAAATTTCAGAAGAAAAAAAGGGGTGCTTGTCATAAGCGGGTGTTAAATTTCCAAGAAGTTTTAGGAAGTTATGTGTGCATGATACTTAATTGTAATGGAGAAATTTGGAACAAATGTAACAAGAAAACTTTTTTGCACTGAAACACTTGAAAATTGATCAGATTTTTGTTCAATTCATGTCTGAAGTCTGTTTTTGTTTTTAGTTTCAAAATTTTGTGGTTTTAGAAGTCACTAAAAATTGGGGTGCGCATCTTACTTGGGGATAAGATTTTAGCAAAATTTCAAGCTGAAAAACCCCTGTGTGCGCCTTACTTGAGGGCATGTGGTACTTGAGTAAATATGGTAGTACTGACAGTATAGGCAGAATATTCAAGAAATGAACACCAACTTTTATACTCATCACAAATCAAAAGAGGAAGGGAGCTGCTAGGCTCACATGTTCATCATCTCTAATTCTCTATACATGGGTTAAAATATGATTGGCTGATCTGTCCTCTGACATTATACCATAAAAATTGCTGAAGCAGTCTTTTTTTTTACTTTCAACAGATATAACACTTGGTCAGTGTTTTATCTGTTAAAGTAAAAAAAAAGACCGCTTCAGCGATTTTTATGGTGAGGTCAGAGGACAGATCAAGTGAAAGATATCTCCACTTGTTACAAAATTGATTTTCTTTTGCAATGGCTTATTTTATAAATTCTGCCTGTACTATTGGCAATTGAAAGACAGCAGATTCATTGCCATCCTGCATCAGAGCCAGGTTTTTCTCTCTTTTTTTTTTGCATACGGCTCTACTTCGTGTTGACCTAAGGTCACTGAAATGCAGCCTGGGCAGACTAGCTGAAGTCCACGATTTTTCTGGAGGACTAAACGCTATTGATTTAAAAATGATTTCATGTTAATCCTACGACACAAATGCAGAAAAATGACTTTCATTGAGAATTTTTTTCATCAAAAAAGATTTGTTCTAAAATTTAAAAAAAAAGATGAGAAAAAGGCTGGGCTTTTCCCAGACTTTCATTGTTCCGATTTGTCTCGGCCAAGTGAAGTAATTAGGCCACATCTGGGTTTTATAAATATTCGAGCTGTGATAGCAGAGGATACAATAACTTTTTCACTTTTGAAGTCAATTCAATCAGATCAGCCACAGTCTCCACCCCACAGGCCCCGCATATAGATGAAATTAACAATTAACCCTGGAGGGTCTCAACAGAACCTTTATTAGGAGATTCTCAATTTTTGGTAATGAAGCTTTTCTGGTCAGAAGTGCCGGGTATGTTGCATGTAGACTATATATAAGTTATAAGTAAATGTTCAATAAGGTATTTGACACAACAGCAGGTTTCTGTTTTGTGTATCCAAAAGGAATTTCTTTCTCAAACCTTCAATTCAAGAGACAAAATACATAGTTAGACCCTCACATGCAGATACCTCAACCTGCGGACAATTCAACATAGGGACACTTATTTTATCATTAAAAATTAATTAAAAAGGCTTGACATGAGGACACTGATTTGACATGGGGACATTTTGTTATGAAATTGCTAATATACATTTCAGGCCAAATTACAAGAAAGAGATATTTCCAATCCTAAAATTGATGCAAGGAAAGTTCTTTGGCATTTCTCTCACAAATTCACAATCCATTTAGGTGATTTAAAAAAATTACCTCCAGCAGAGAGGGACTTCCTTCACTCTTTTTCACTTGCATATTATTTTTACAGAGAATGCCAACATTTCTATGTACTGTACAGAGGTTATCAGTATTCAATTCCATAAATGCCCATATTGTGTTGAAATATTTTGATAGGAATCAATTTAAATTGGGATACAGTTTTTATTTTCATGTAATTATTTTGAACATAAAACACTAATAAAAATTACATGATGCAAGTCTAAGGGAAAATGAGACTTGACTTAGGGACACTCTCAATGCACCAATTACATCCACATCTTGGGATCTCACTGTACAGTATACTTTTTTACTCCGTATATCCGATATTTAAGTGAAATGGATCAATGACAGCGCATATTAAATACTGTACTGTTGAATACCCACTTTCAAATTCTACAACTGTGATTAGGAACTGATTTCATTTTTGAAGCCAGCAATGATCATATGCTTTTGTTGGGATTCTGCAAGGGCTTTCCACAGTGTCTTGTTTTTCACAAATTTTCAACATTTCCTGGAATCCAAAAACATTTCAATGCAGAACTTTAAAAATTGATCAACTATTAATGCCTGAAATTATTTTCATGCTTGTCTCAGCCTTTTAAATGGGCATTCGGAGGCCTTTTTGTTTCGTTGCAATTAAATAGCAACAAACTTTCCAAATAATTTTATAGTGTAGTCCTTGAAAAAAGGAAAAACAGGACAGCATTTCCATTTTAGTGGCAAATATGGCAGGAAATCCAAAAAACATGGGAGCCAAATGAAAAATACATTTTGTTGTTTTAAAAAGTTTTTTTGAATTGAAGGAATTGAATGAAGATGCCAGTATGTGTTCCACCAACGAGGCACCTTTTTTGTTGTTGCTCCCATGACGAGCTTCTTCAAAAATTTCATTTAGAAACCTCGGCGTTGATCCTTTGATCTGTTGTTCGAACGCTTCATCAACCACGTCCATAAATCCATCTAATTAGTTAAACAATTTGTTTTAGACCATGAACCCCATTCAAATCGCTTTTTGATTCTCTCTCATGATGGCAGCATGTCTTCTGTCTGCCGGGAAAGACAAGGCCACAGGCGAGTACCATTCAGCATTTGCCCAGCTGCACAGAGTCGCGGAAACCGCAGCAGACACAGAGCCGGAAGCCGACGTGTGCACTTCCGACGACGCTGCCAGCGAACCCGGCACCATCACCGACACCACCACCACCACCACCACGAACAGCAGCACCTCCAACGCGGCGTCTTCGTCCTGCCGCCGGAAACCGCCGCCGCCGCAACCACCGCCGCCGAGACGAGGCCCGGAAAGGAAACGCGGTCTCGCGAGCCGACGACGACGGGGATCATCCAGTAATACTCACGTAGACGACGATGACGACATGGACAATGACGAGAAGTGCAAGGAGGATTCGGGGACAATGGCGGATCATCCGAGTCTCCCGCTACACCCGCACCTAGTCAACGTGAATGCGAGTCTGGAGATGAAGGCCTTGTGGGACGAGTTCAACGAGCTGGGCACAGAGATGATTGTCACAAAGGCTGGCAGGTCAGTCAGAAACACCAATTGTTGAGGAATTTAGCAACCCAACATAAAGAATTAAACCATAGCCCAGTGGAAGAAAAGGTGGGAAATAACAAGGCAGGGCAATCAGCCAGTTTGCAGCCAGGATTATGTAATTAAGGGGGTACCTTAATCACATACCCCTAGTTTTGTCTGGTTTAATCACAGTCCACAATAAATCACAATCAAACTTAATACAAAAATAATGCATCACAATAAATGCAATAGTGCAACAAATATTCAATGAAGACAATAAATTTGTGCACACAAATTTAGGGTGAAATAATGCAATACAACAATTTGTTCAGAAGAATTGGGGTTGTAATGTTTGAGGGAAATTTACTGTAAGAGGTAATTTTAAGGACTGATTATTGAGAGTGGAAGAGTGCTGGGTTTTTGTATGATTTAGCACAACGCTTCGGTCAGCTGACCTGACCAAAGCATTTGACTTTTTCCTTGCCTGTGATTGGTGGAACAAATGTGCATCAAAGAAGTTGTGCATCCAGGGAACAGATGCCTGAAGGAAAATGGGACCAGAATTCAGGTCCTGATGGGACCTGATGTCCCTGGGCCTGAGTTCTGGTTCCCCAACACTGTACTTCAGTAGGGTCAAACCTCTCCAAGTCAAATTTTGAGGGACCAGCAGAAAAAATTTACTTGGGGAGTGCGCTGTCATGGTTCCATTGGATTCCAGACAAAGGAATTGAATTTTGCAGCCATCAGAATGCAAGTTTTGAATAAGGACTCAAACTCTTTTCATAGGAGTTCATTCTCATTGCCCAGATCATCATTTGGCTGTTAATGAAATGCTTGGAATGGCAGAGTCAATTGTAAGATTGGTTGGTTTGCTCAGAAGAATGAATAAGGTAATTAAAGTTAAAAGGCCCTTGTAACACAAGATTCTCACTTCTCCTCTCAAAGAGGAATGAAGGCTTTTATACCCAGGTGCTCAATCAGACCAGGTCAGGCTCAGGATTGGCCAATTTAGGGAAAATTAAGGAAGTGATGACCACTTCTTGGCCATGGGTGAGGCTCAGTGCGTCTTGTGAAAACAGGATTTTGGCAAGGCTCACTGGCCAAGACTGGCCACTGGTAAAATTGATTGTCAAGATGCAACAAGTTTTCTTGGCTGGTGGCAGCCAGATGCTGGAGCTGCGCTGCTTTGGGACATGACATGTTCTACATAGGTTTCAAGTTAGGACAGGAAACAAGGATTTTTGTTTTGGGTAAATTGAGGAATTGCAGGAAATTGTAAATTTTGAAATTCTGGGGCTTAAATTGTCTATTATACATGAGTTGACAGAATGCTGAACTTGGAGACAAGGGTTAATTTGACCAAATAGTCTTTCACCTCCTTTCAAAACACATCAAGTTACTTTTTATTTCTTTTATCTTACCTGTGTCAAGAAAATAGTGGCCAAAAGGCCTCAGAAAATTCAAGTTGCAGGATTTGAGAGGAAAAACCTTCAAGTTAAGGAAATTTGCAATGCATGGTTTCTAAGGAAAGTCAGGTGCGGACTTGAAAAACATTTGACTTTGGGAGGTTTGAGTTATCCAGGTTTAATTGTATTTTGCACAACCCAAAGCTATGTTTTATAATTGCTCTCAAAATTTTTTGACAACAGGGGCTTACTTATGACAGGAAGGTTTATTTTCTGTTGCTCACAATCAAAATCTAGCATTTGAAAGCATCTCTGAAGCACGCATAAACAAAGAAACATTCTGAAAAAAGCTAATCAATTTGGCAACAGATTGTGAAACACAGGTCATGGTTTCAAATCAAAAGGTTCTACTGTCAAACCTCAATAAACTGCCATCATTTATTTGTAAAATTTTGGTGGTTTATCATAGTTGGTGGTTTAAAGGGGGCTAGTGGTTTATCAAAAAAAGTGAAATAATATGAAAATCAAGTAAAATGCTAAATGAAATTCATATTCCTCTAGAAAACAACCAAAATATTCCTGGGACACATAAAATACAGAAAAATTTGCACTCGCTTAAAAAAATGAGATGTTGCCAAAGGATAAAGTTGATTAGTTCATGTCAATCTCAGTTTGGTAAGTTAGCTCAGCAGGCCAGGTTTAGTATGACCCTTATCCATGAAAACCAGCAGCCCTTTTTTTTCTTATTTTACTAACCCTTCGGGGTATACTGTACTGTACCCGCAATGGAATGCGATGACAGACCGGGCTGCGATAATTCTCTGGTTATATAGCTCTGTCATATCTTTAATGATGGACAAGGGATGAGCTTCGATTTTTCCGACCTTTTCCTCGCCTCCACGCCCACTAGTACTGTCTCTAAAAGTCTAAGACACACACACACCCATCCAAGCACCAGGAAGAAGGAAATCGGCCTGGCGCTTAGCGTCACTCGTCGTCGAGCCCGTAATTAGCCGTCTGCTCGATTAACCCCTCAACTTCCCCCGGCAAAAAGTTTCTCGTATCCTCGTGTCCCAGACTCACACCCCGGGCGACAAAACTCGGGGATTTTCGCTCGTAATTTCTGGACAGGGGAGAGGGAAAAGTAAAGGGGGGAAAAAATTAATGCAGGAAGGAAACATACAGATGAAGAAGAAGAAGGGGGGACCAGCATGCATATAGGGAGCAAAGCAGTCAGTGACGCAGGAAGCTGCAAGTGTGAGAGTCGCGCCTGGTTCGCGTCATCAATTACCTCCCCCGTCGGGCTTCAACAACTCTCGCGCCTGCGCCGACTTTTTTCTCCCACCTTTTTTTTTTTTTTCGTCTCTCTTCTCTATATCCGCTCTTACTGCAATTTCTCTTCCCTCTTGACGTTTTACCTTTATTTTTTTTCTCTTTCAAATGACAAGAGAAATATGCGTAAAATAAAGAAAGAAAGGGAGGGAGAGAGAGAGGGAGAAAAAAAGAGTTCTCGTCACTGTAGAGCCGGGGTAACGACGACGAGGACCAAGTGGACAAGTACGAGGGTCTAGTAATAAATTTTTGAAAGTCACATGTGTTGGCTTCGTCACTGTCGGGGGCCGCCAGTAACATTGTTGTTGTCATCACGCGTTTTTTGTTTTGTTATTTTGTGGAGCCCACAAATTTTCGGACCAAGTTCCGGTATGATGTACAGATTTTGCCGCAGTAGATTCTCAAAAAATACAATAAATAAATTACCTAACCGAAGTAATTTAACTTTAAAAAATAAGCTCTCTCACTTAGCTAACCTATATAATACTACTACTACTTCTAAATTTTCAACTAACCCAGATTCTCAAAAACATTCATTGATGGTACGAAGATTCTGAATTTAAAAGAATATACAGTATATATATATATATATATAAGAAAGTATTGTACTGTACTGTATATAATTCCTCTTTGATAGCTTTATGTACTATTTATTCTCAAAGATTCTCTCTAAAGTTTTTGATCAATAAAGAATTATCTGGATTATGCGAACAATTTAACAATTGTCTGAGAACAGACTGAGCACCGTCTGCTTTAACGCTTTCTACAGCAAGGTTGGGATAATTTTTTTTTTTACAAAAGTTTGTGTTCAAGAGCACTGGAAGAAAAAATTCACCTGAAAACCCAGGCCTAATTTCGGGGAAAAGTCCGATATTCTTGTTGGGTGGCGTTTTTTCCTGCATTCCTAGCATAGGATTAGCGTAGGAGATTTGTAAAAATAAAAAATTTCACCCTTCCCAGATTCTTCCTGCTTTGTTTTTCTTCTAAATTATGAAAATTGGAAAATAGCGCTTTTATATCAATGAATTGGTACCTGAAAAAATGATAGAATTGTTTCTGCAATATACATTTCAAAACAATATACGATGAGTCATTACATTTAATTTTCCTGAGATCAGCAGACTTTCCATGATTATTGCTCAATCGTTCCCTGTGCAAATGCGGTACGTATTTTTGTACTTCGGAAATGAGTTGGTGAGCTCACTAGTGAAAATAAAAACAACATTCTGCGCGTCATTTGTTTCTCTTTTATCTTCCACTTCCGCTAATGATCCGTCGCCGTCTTCCAGATAATTAAGACTTTCGGAAGTTGGAAGAAAACACACGAATCAACTCTGCACTCATATGCAGTAATTAGCCATGATCTAAATTTTGTAAGAATGAGCTGAGAAAAAATATATCCTCGGTTCACCGCAATAAGATGAACGAAATATACAGTAATGAGAACCGTCTGATTATTCGGAGTTCCATGGACAATGATTTCGTTTTGCAAGAATAATTTTTTTATTCTTGCAAGACGAAATCATTGTCCATGGAACTCCGAATAATCAGACTCCGAATAATAATTATGTTGACCGGAAGAGTTCTTCCATTTAAAATGAAAAAATATGCAAGATTGTTTCGAGTAAGAAGACGTGATCACTGAAGTAATTCATCGAATAATAGATGTTTTTGCACAAAGGACTTTGGCATGCCGCCGATTTTTTCTTTGCATGCAGGGGACGCTGTTCGGGATGATACAATTTTCTATGAGAATTGTGATTGCCAATATCATGTATCCAGTGGATACACGACTTTCTCAATATTTTGATACACTAATGAATCATACCTTTGAGAAAATTCAATTTTTAAATTAACTTTGAGAAAACCAACGCATCTTTCTTTCTAATCGAACGCGCTTTTGAAGTCGCAGAGTATTTCATTTACCTGGAATCAATTTCCTCAATCACACCGGGTGGCCCCAAAATCTTAATTTTTTTTAAATCCCCGAAAAATCTCCCCACGAACGGAAATTTTGTCACATTTTTGAACAGTGCTTCAGTAAAAGTGGAATTAATTCACGTCCTTGATGAAGTACTGTACTTTCAGCATCCAATACGAAGCGCCTTATTTTTCGATATTTAAGCACATATCTGATTTTTTAACTCTGTACATCTGCTTATACAAACTCAAAATGATGCCGCGACGCAAAATTCAAAAAGGTGGAAAGTTTCCTGAGATAATTAATTTTTTTCTTCAAAATGAGGCGCAGGATTTATGAATTGACCCTCGCACACAGCTGAAGGGTGAGATGGAAATAATAAAAGAAAAAATATAAAACGAAAAATAAAAAATAAAAAGGGGGAAAGTTTCCTAAGATAATCAATTTTCTTTTTTTTTCAAAACGAGGCGTAGGATTTATGAAGTGACCCTCGTACACAGCTGAAGATTCAGAGGAAATAATAAGAAAGGAAACACAAATTGAAAAAAAAAAATTATCACGGTGAAAAATTTCCTGTGATAATAATAATTTTTTTTTTTATGCTATGCGCACATTTATGAATTGATGGATTCATATGGATTTATGAATTGACCCTCGTATACACAGCTGAAGGGCGAGATGGAAATAATGAGAGGGAAATTAGAAAGCAAACATTTTTTAAAAAAGGTGAAAAGTTTCCTGAGATAATTAATTTTTTTCTAATGAGGCGCAGGATTTATGAATTGACCCTCGTACACAGCTGAAGGGTGAAATGGAAATAATGAGAGAGAAAATACAAAGCGAAAAAAAAAATTATCAAGGTGAAAAATTTCCTGTGATAATAATAATTTATTTTGTTTATGCTTGGCGCACATCTATATGAATTGATGGATTCATATGGATTTATGAATTGACCCTCGTACACAGCTGAAGGGTGAGATGGAAATAATGAGAGAGAAAATACAAAGCGAAATTTTTTTTTTTTAAAGGTGAAACGTTTCCTGAGATAATTTTTTTTTTTTTAAATGAGGCGCAGGATTTATGAATTGACCCTCGCACACACAGCTGAAGGGTGAGAGGAAAATAGTGAGGGAGAAAATACAAAACTGAAAAAAAAAAAAAAAAAACAAGAAAAAAAGAACAACGAAATTAAAAAAAAAAAAAACGGAAAGGAAGAGAGAACCAGGAGGAGATGAAGAGCAGGTGGTATATTCGAAAACGGTCGGTCGGTCCGTCCGTTCGTTCGGTCGACGGTTTTCCCATGCGCGCGAAACTGGAGGGCAAGAGCAGGCGTCGTCGTCGTCGTCGTCATCGTCGTGGGAGTCGTCGCCGTCGACATCGTCGTCGTCGTCATGACTGACGAGCTCACCGGCTGCGTCGTGATTGATGGACCGGTGACCGACACATGCTGGCTCCCTTTAATGACGACACTGCCTTTGGGCCTGCTGCGTTTCGTCCCCGTATTTTTAGCCAGCCGGGGCGCCGTTTTTCTTACTTTC